ACTACGTATTACTTACTTCGTAGAGTTAGTCCGGCGGTCGTACGAGAGAACGAACTTACTTACTACTTCGTAATAGACTTAGGTAGTAGTGTACGTACTCTCTCTCTCTCTCTCTCTCTCTCTCCCCGGATTTGCACAACAGATATGCCTTTCTTACAAGGAAGCAAAGAATCCGTATTCCTCAAGACTAGTCTTTGAATCAGAATGACTTGGGTTGTGGTTCTCTCTCTCTCTCTCTCTGAAGTTAAAGACCCCACCTTTCCATCTCCTTTGAGCAGTTAAGAATCCAACCATCGTGCCGCTAAACTGAGGAAATAAATTGAGCTGTTTGATCTCTGATCAACTCAGTGTTTGAAATTCGGCTGAGTCCACTCCTGGTAATGGCTAATATCCTTTTTAGATCACAGAGGCTTAGATCCTACTTGTTGCCATCGACTCTCCTTCCAAATGCTTTGAGGTTTCCAACAAGTTTAACCATTTCTCCAAAGCAAGCTATTCGAGTTTTGGTGACTGGTGCTGCAGGCATGTGAATGATGGCTTGTGTTTGTGTGTGTGTGTGTGAGAGAGAGAGAGAGAGAGAGGCTGATTCTGGTTAAATGTTGATGAGTATTAAACATCCATTTAGTTATATGGATTTGCAGGACAAACAGGTCATGCCCTTGTCCCAATGATAGCCAGAGGGGCAATGCTAGGCCCTGATCAACCTGTGATCCTTCATTTGCTTGACAATCCTCAAACTATAGAAGTCTTAGATGCATTGAGAATGGAATTGGTTGATGCTGCATTTCCACTCCTCAAAGGTCCATATTTTTCTTCATGTCCTATCAAAAACATCAAGTTTTGTCATGGACTCTTTTATTGTAACATCATGTAGTTTCTTACAAGGAAAAATTACGTACGGATTGGAAATAAATTAATGCATGGTCCAAAATTTCCCAAGGTTAAGATTAATATGGGGAGTGAACACAATTAGTTTAGTTGTTCCCCAAGTATCTAAGCAGGGAACAGTGGATACTGAAAACACTGTTTCTATGCACAGTACTAAGGTGAAAGAGTTATCCCCCTTGTCTACATATTAGACCATTCCAAATTGATGTTTCATAATTCACCGAGTTAGAAAGGGGTTTGAGAAGGTACTCACCCTTTGTAATACATGTGAAATTAGTACAAATATACGAAGTGCATACAATATGTAGAAGTTAATGAGCTCTTAGCTACTGTACAATCCCACCTCTAAACACATAGCCCGAGGGATACTTTTGGGCTGAATATTTTCACAATTCAATTTGGAAAATAGATGACATCAAGAAAAAAATTGATTTCGAGTTCTTGAAAGCCTAGATCCAACAGTCACCAAATGAAGAACTTGCACCCATAAAAAGTGGCGGACACTTTTCCCCAAGTTCTTTTGTGAGTCTTTTTCTTTTTTTTTCTCTTTTTAATTTCGATCATGTAGATGAGATCTACATGTGTGCAAAATTTGAGGTCACCTAGATGAATTCAATTTTATATAACCCATTAAGCCTGCATAATCTTTTTCCATGCATTTCTCAAGCATTTTCTCATGAGTTAGTTACTTGGAATTTTACAGGTGTTGTTGCTACTTCAGATCTTTTTAGGGCTTGCACTGATGTAAATATAGTGGTGATGCTTTGGGGTTTCCTCAGGAAGGATGGAATGGATAGGAGAGAAATGATTTCCAAAAATGTGTCCCTTCACAAGGCTCAAGCATCTGCAATAGAAAAGCATGCTGCCCCAAATTGCAAGGTGATCGTTAGTGGATTCTGACGACTCATTAATAGATTCATACGCTTTGATTGTGAAAATAACCTCAAATTAATCTTTTTTATCGAGCGTATTAGTTCTGCTAGCACTCACATGTTGTGAGGCTTGTGAACCCTCAAATAGAAAAGTTAAATCATTGTACGAGCTGCTGGCCGATAGCACAGAATGCAGCAGACAGCTAAGATAGAAGGAGAAAAAGATAAATGGTCAAGGAATGGTTTCTAGGCTTGGGTGGTCAGAATGATGGCGGGGGACGTTTAGAGTTCCATTCATATTGAGGTCCCAAGTTAGCATTCAAAAAAGACAAAGAAAAAGGGAAATGAGAGGAAACAGGTAGTCCCATTAATAAAATTAAGATTTTGGAGAAGGATCCACTGGATCAATCTACCCAAAAAAAAAAAAGGATCCATTGGACCTTTACTCACCAGGACTCATAGGACTCAAAAAAAATTCAAGTTAGCACAAAAATTTTGGCGTAAAATGAGTTTGCCCCTCTTATCCATCTGTTTAGTCCGTTCTCCTTTAATCTTCATTGTGAAGCCTATATTCTGCTTTAGGTCAGTCAGCTCATGTATCATCTTCCAAAAGTAAAAACACGTTCTCATTCTTTCGAATGTTATGTAAACACTAGCTTCCTAGAAGAAGGTGTCCATGAATATGTAGTCTTTGATCAACATTTCAGAATTGCAGGATGATTTAATTCAATAATTTAGAGAAACAAAAACATTCCCCAACTAATAAATGAGCAAATACATAATGATAACTCTCATGATATTCTAAGTTTTTTATGTGTATTCAAAGAGAGCGAGAGAGAGAGAGAGAGAGAGAGAGAGATGAGTTCTGTACTTGATCATTGAATTTCTGTTATATTTTAGTGGTGATCACTTCTATTTTTCAAGATTTGATCTAACCTGTTTTTGTTACATGATCAGGTGCTTGTTGTGGCTAATCCAGCAAACACTAATGCACTCATCTTCAAAGAGTTTGCACCATCCATCGCAGAGAAGAACGTCACATGCCTCACACGCCTAGAACACAATCGAGTTCTCGGCCAAATCGCCCAAAGGTTATACGTGCATGTTAGTGATGTGAAGAATGTCATCATATGGGGAAACCACTCCTCTTCACAATATCCTGATGCCAACCATGCAACAGTGACCACCGCTACGGGAGAGAGACCTGTTAGAGAGCTTGTATCAAATGATCAATGGTATGCATTTATGATTTATGTATGTGCCTATTTATGTATGTATGGACAGGCATAAGCACAGACGGACAGAGAGAGACGTATATATTCATATATGTACATTTAGAATTCATAGGATCATGTGTGTTGATTTCATAATAGGCTAAAGGGTGAGTTCATCACCACCATGCAACAACCAGGAGCCACGATCATCAAGGCCCGCAAGCTCGTGAGTGCATTTTCCGAAGCTAGTGCTGTTTGTGATCACATACGCGATTGGATCCTTGGCACCCCGAAGGTGTGGTGTTACTTTTCCACTGTAGTTTTTCCTCAATGAATACAATTACTTTCATTTGATTAAATAATATTATTCATTTCTTTTTTACTTTTAGGATACATGGGTATCCATGGGGGTGTATTCTGATGGGTCTTATGGGATTCCTGCTAGTCTGATTTATTCATTTCCAGTTACTTGTAATGGAGGAGAGTGGTCAATTGTTCAAGGTATGATATTCTCATTTTTTTTCCTTCTTCTCTTCCCTCTTCAAATTGGCCCCATATGCTCATTTTATTTTCCTAAATGCATAAAGTGACTGTTTTTCAAGAAAATAGAAAACACCTGCTTACCTTCATTGAGAGCGTAACTCAAGACTATATCTCAAGTTTCTTTCATAACAACTGAGCTACCCAACCAAAAAAACAAAAAATTAAGTATACCTTAACAAGCCATTTTGCTACTTTTCTAATGCAACTAATACTATTGATTATACAACCAACTGTGACCATCTGGTTTATATTGAGGAGGTTTTAATGGAGAATATTTTCATCACTTTGATCAAAATCATAACACAATAGGGCCATGTTGCTGGCCATCTATGTTTTATTCCCTTAGTAGTATTTAGTGGTAATTCATTTGGTACCAGAAAACAAAAAAAGTGTACATTCCAAGATATTTACCCTTAAGTTTACCCTTGATGCAAGGTCAAAATCATCCCTGCCCATCAAATGTGAAATCAAACGACAAGTAATGTACCATAAAATTCAGGATTTTTAGGACATCAGACGCTTAATGTCACCCCCCCCCCCCCCCAGCTGCGCAACTTCACATTTGGCTGTCATATAAGTGATTGACATTTTTGTATTTAGGGGTGGTAATTACATCAACACGGATCTGAGTCTAGAGCAAATATTAGACACAACTGGTTAGATCCACGTCCAAATGACTTGGACCTGACCTCGGTTAGGTCTAAGTCCATCTTGGACCCTATGGGGTCAAATTGACCGGGTCTATGCCAACCTGGCCCGGACCATTCCAATATTTGCATATACATGTGCGCATATAGAACAATATTGGTATATTAGAAAATATTTGTAACAATATTTATTTTTCTTATCACTTAAATAAATTATTTTCTCTAATCTAAATTTGGAAACCGAGTCCAATGATCTGGACCCTAATTATATTGCACCCGAGATCCGACCCAATTAACGCCCATAATTGTACAAAAGATAGACAACATTATTGCATACTTTTACAGAAAACTGAATAGGCATCCTTGCATTATATTGAGTTCCCACAATATCTTCTACTGTCTATCTCCTTAGTCGTAAAATTTTAAGGAACTTATATTCTAAATTTTTTAATTTCCTTCTAATTGATGCTAGGATTGGAAATTGATGGGTTCTCTCGGGCAAAGATGGACGCAACTACAAATGACCTCATTTCAGAAAGAGCTCTTGCATACAGTTGCCTAAATTAATAGCAAACATGCATTTCTTAGAATATATACAGTAGAACAATAATGTGTACATGTGTGCTATAATCAATAGAGATTAGCCCCCCCCCCCCTCTCTCTCTCTTCTCTCTCTCTCTCTCTCATCAATGTTGATTAGCCTGCCCCTCTCTCCCTCTCTCTCTCTCTCTCCAAATTGAAACTCAATTACAGGAAAAGATTATCACAATTGAAACCCTAAACAAAGCTTTTACGCAAACAATTCAGCATTACAAAATAAATGTTAATGTTTCTCTCAGGCTTACAAAGTAAGCATTCAGTGAAATGTAACAAGCCCTCAAGAGAGAGAGTCACCCAAAAGGACTAAGATCATATCTCCCCCCAAGAAAAAATAAAGGAAGAGAATGGCTCATAAATGGCTCGGTACTCCCACAAGAGAGAGAGAGAGAAAGAGAGAGAGCCATAACCATATATTTGGGCAACATCAGAGGGAGACCAACAAACCAAGAGGCTGTTTGTCATGACCGAACAATGTGCAAATGGATTCAATCATCTCCCTAAGATACAAATAACAGATGACCCAATTGCACCTCAGCCTTTTCACAGAGAGAGAGAGAGAGAGAGAGAGAGAGAGCAACCGCACCTCACAGGCCCTTTACTACAAAGATGCAGACATCACATCCCACCACTCATGTGTTATGTACACTTCTTTCTCCATTACCCCTTTCTCAACTGAAAAACCATCATTCTAAAAGCAGCTCTTCTCCCTCCTCTTCTTCAATAGAAACAACCTTTTCCTCGGCTTCCTCCCCATCATTTATCTCGCTCTCCCGCATGACACTTTTGCCTCCATTTATGGGACCTGGAGGAGGCGGACCCCTTGTCTCCTTTGCACAAATGCATGAGGAAGGGTATTCATGGAATTCGCCACGACCAGGCCTCATCTCATGAGGATCACCCATGAAGCCCCTTTGACAAGCCTTTACCTTCTTTGCGAAGGTCTCCCACCCCATCTCTTCTCGGCCCTTGAACAAGGAGCTTAGTTTCTTTGCATTTGGTCGAATGGTCCTCTTGTGCCCCATATATCTCCTGCATTTTAAAAAACATGTTTTTTTGTAGAGATCATTTATGATTTATATGTACATAAAAGGGCATCTTTATTTAGCATGTCACAAACACAATCTTTTCTCTGCATTAATGCAAGGGAAAGAGATTTACATTTTTATTGTTATCATTACTAATACTACTATTACTGTCCCTCAACTTCTCCCCCACCAAGGTTTATTCCTAAACTGGTCCAAAGACAACTTGTTGAAAAAAATAAAAATCATCCAAAGTCTCATGGGCCACGCCCCAGTAGGTCTTGTAGGTCATAGGTCCTGTGTTATGTACTGTCAAACAATGCCCACATCTCCCTTGGCTATCTTTTAGGTATAAGAAAATAGAAGTAGGGGGACCTTGCAGGATAAGTCCGTTGGTTTTGGAAAAGAAGGCCAATCAATTAAATGGAAGCTGGCTGGTTGTTCTAATGCCACAACATCAGAACTGGGGCTCCATGAGCTAAATCGTAAGAGCTATTAAGTCTGGGCCCACAGCTTCTTTGAGTTTTTCTGAGGCCTTGCAATTATGGAAGCCAATTCACTTCACAATATTCACATCATCCGGTGGGCCTGTAGAATGACATTCCTAGAGAGTAATAAGTGATCATGAAGGATATTTACAAGGGAACGAACATCTTGTTTCCCACTACCAAGTAATGAAAGAGTAAGACTAGGACACTAACTTGATTGGTGACTCTCTTCATCTCCATTGTAACCTTAAACTATGTCCTCTTTATTCTTTTTGGTTTTTTCGGGTTCTGCCCTCTGGTTGTATGCATTGTGCAACTTAAGCTTCCAACTAAATTATTATCTCCCAGGAAGCTACCTAAATCAGCTAGGATTCTAAAGAAACTGGTATCTACCAGTGTTTTCTAAATCTTGAGGAGACCAGTAAGGAGATTAGAGAAGGAAAATCGTTATAGGTATGTATTGTGTTTCCAAGTTCATTCTCCTTGTACTATCATAGGAGAAGGGGGGAGGGGTTCATTAATCATTGGGCTCATGCTAGATAATTTAAACCTAGTTCAAGCAAGGTTCAATCAAAGTCTAGAGTACTAATATTCAATATATGCATCCCAACAATCATAGACAAGTTATAGCTCTTGGCTTGGGCTGTAAACAAGTCAGGTCTGGGTAGGATCAATTCCGACTCGTCAAGGTCCATGTAAGACCCAAACCAGGATAAGGTCCAAATTATGTGGACCCTAACGGGTCAGATCCGGGTCTCAAATTGTCTATTATACATAATATATAAAATGTTTATGTGATTTTATTTGTGTACATAATATATAAAACGTTTATGTGATTTTCAAAAAACACTTATGAGTCAACTTCTAAAGTATTTCACTCATGGCTCCACAATCCAAAGTCCGTCAGATGGTCATATTGTCTGATAGTTTTTTAATATTAATATGTTTTTTAGAAATCAGATTAACCTAAAGTTTTGTGGGTGTGTGCGCCTCAATAAGACGCACCTAAATCAAATATAAAAAATAATTCCAAAAATAAAATTGACCAAATTACCCATATGAATATTTCAAGGGTATGTATATATATAATCAGATTATCAGAGCCTTTTCTCAACTATTTGGGGTCAGCTACACGAATCCTAGTCTGCCATTCTACTCTATCAAGGGCCATACCCTCGGTGAGGGATTTTTAACCATATCATTTTGGGCCTACACCTTGTCCCTTTTGAGCGTTCTACTTGCACCAACTCACACCTCCTAACAGGTGTTGTATTGGGTTTGCACTATATATATATATATATAGATATAGGTCCGGTCAACTCTGACCTGGACCCAACCCCACCCGAGTAGTTCCACACTAGACCTAACCCACCGGGTCCATGGGGAAGATCTAGACCAACACAACCTGGAGAACCTGGAGAGAAGGAAACACAATTTCAAACTAAGATAATCAAGCTTAACAATCACAAAAATATGTGGCATGGTTTTGAAAGTTACTGAATATTGTAACACACTGTTGCGTCCCTTGAGGCATTTAAGATATGGCAAAATGATATTTTTGCTCCCTCTATCAAAAGCAACAACCAGAAACCCAAATAAATTTTCATATAATCACCCCAAGAAACATGAACAGAATCTTAAGTTTCAATAGAGTACCTTCGACCAGCCAAAATCTTGGCCATGTTGCCATTGTTGTTAGTGACAAAGACATCGCTCTCATCACAAACTATGTAATCAATGGCAGCTAGGCGTGAGGAAAAGGGCAGGAGGGAAGCAATCTCTTGATCAGCAGCCAGGGTCTCCTTGGTGTAGAAGTTAGGAAAGAGGTCACGAAGAGGTCTCAATGTCTCTTCTCCTCTGTATATTTCACCGGAGGCCACATACAAATAGGAGTCGTTGCCAAAGCCCAAAGCTCTCAACATTAGACCAACCTCATGAGGGGTCAGAGGACACTTTCCTCGCCTCACCTCCCCCTCAGGACTCAAATCCTGCATCATACATGTAACATTATGGAAAATGATAAAACTCCCTCCCTCCCTCGCTCATGTAACATTATAGAAAATTATAGAACTCCCTTCCTCCAATCCACGCACATCTACACACAAAATCAATCAATTTTTAATTTAGTTGCCCCTCCAACCCCAACCCAAAACAAACCCACCCACCCGCCCCCACCCCCCTCTCGACACTCACAC